CTATTGTTTTGCAATTTAGTCTGGAACTAATTTTGAAAATAAGGATTAGTATTTACCACTTTAGTAAATACTAATACTAAGATGTTAGTAGCCCATGAGTTACAGGTTGTTAGATCACCTGTCTCACTGCTCATTAGCTTTTTTGTAATCTTAGCTTGTTGAAACTATGAATGCTCTATATAGATAGCAGGAACTAAGCATATAAATTTCCTAATAATTTAGCACATCCTCAGAGCGAATGGGTACCACAGGTAGTTCCAGCATGGCAAATCTTAGGCATGAATATGAATGTTTTTGATATTGTATTAAAGATAGAACTTTTGAAAAAATAGTCTTAAGGAGCTAATGCAAGAGTGAATAAGACAGAGATCATTATACTCAACACAAATGGAACAAAAAATGTATACTAATATAGACATTTTCCCTTCTGCTGATGTGAAAAATTTGTAAAGAAAATTCAAGAAAGAATCAAAAGAAGTGCCAACTGAAAAACCTGCATTGGTTTTTCTTCTAATATTCTAGTACAAGATTAAACAACATTCTTGAAATTGTGATCTTCTGTGGCTTTAAACAGTTCTTTGTGAAATAGCTACTACTTCCTAAAAACACCTTATATTTAGGGATCTTCTCACATGATTTCAGACTTGGCATAGAAAGCAGTTAGATTTTAAGGAATTTAAAAGATAAACTGCCTCCACATGCAACATATTAGCCTTTAGTTTCAGATGTTTCCGAATGCAGAAGGCATTAAACAATGACATTTTAACCATGAAGATCTGGAAGTTAAGAGAACAATGTGGGAATTCTGTGTAACTCATATAAATTAGACATATAATTTAATTTACTTGGGGGTGATGATTTGGTTTTACACTATTTCTTTGATTTCTATTCAAAGCACATAATGAATACCTACACTTGCAGGGTTTCTCTGAGGGGATTAAAAGTGATCATAAGGCCTTAACAGGTGTCTGAGGGGCTCAGAATAGCAGCTGATTGTCTACAATATGTTTCCTTATACAGAATGGGATTTGTTTTAAAAAGTGATTTTTTTTACTCTGGTTAATGTTCTAATAGATACAAAAGCTGCAGTCTCTCTCTTCCTCTCTGTCTTTTTCTTCTTCTTTATGAAACTTTACTGAAGCTATTCAGACCTTTCTGACCTGCAGATGCAGTCACAGTAGTATGTTCTATATGGGATAATATTTAATAACCATTCACAAAATTTAGAAGTGTGCCTGTATGGCTGATAAAGTTTGCTGTTATGGCAATAGTGCTGTTGCCATGCTGTCTTCCTAAAGCATACTTCCCAGAGCAATTCAAAGTCCTGATTTATATATACTTGAAGTGTTGCAAAGTTTAGCCTCTGTAATTACAGAGATGCTGCCTCTTTTCTTCACTGCAGAAATTGAGATCAGTTCATGTATTCATCTTCATATTTTTAATTTGAATGATGTGGAAGTCTGACTTTTTAAACATGCTCTGATTGTGGGTTCTTGTCTCAAGGATTCTTTCCCTGATGATATGATAGAACATGAGGATAATATCCATTTATTCACATGGGCTTGGTGGGGGAGGATAGAATGAGAGCTTGTCACATTTTCATTTAAGACTCCTGGATAATTTTCCAAGGGTATTACCCATTTTTATATATATATACATAAAATTTTTAAGCAGCTATTGCAATTATAGTAAGAATTTAATTTTAATATTTTAATTAATTTGCAGGAAATTTTTCATATAATGTTTTGTATACCTATTAAAAAATAGGAGTTAAATGCATTTTTAGAAAGGAAATTATTTTTTTTAAAAAGTGGCAGTACAAGTGTGTCCATGGCATTGGGAACATATAAAGGCTGTAGCTTAGGGTCCTCTGCTAGCCATATCATAAAAGAAATACATACTACACAGGTTTTAGGGCTCTAACACACAACTTTTAGAAGATTTAACCTTTCTTAGCTGTCTGTCTTAACACACTGCTCAGTATTATGGCTTCCATTACAAAAGAGGTTTGTGGTTTCACTTCACCATCCCCTGTTATAGCTTAAGCCAGTGAAGAAGGTGAGTTTTGACTAAGAAGCTAGACTGGATAGATCTCATGTGTTTTACAAACTCGGTAATCTCTAGAAAGGGGTGAAGCAATTAGCCTCAGGCAATAATAGCCTAAACTGTAACACTATGACACTAGACTTGTCAGAAACCTCACACCACCCAGGTGAGGGTCCCAGGGTCTCTGAATTACAGCTGGTTTGAGAACCACACTTATTCTTAAGAGAGAAGGCAACGCACAATCAGGAAAAAAATAGACATGATGTTATTCCCCTAAGCTATTGTTTCAGTTTTAAGTGTTAATGGTCCTTTCAACCCCAATAGCATAAAAATACCTCCATGTCAAATGTAAAGAAATATTCACTGAAAGCTGGCTAAGAGGATTTTGATACCAGTGATTTTAAAAGTAGGGTAAGATGTAGCATTACAGTCCTTGGGTGGGCAAGGATAGGTTGGATTCAAATCTACACAGGGACCTTCAGGCAATGTCACTCAGCCCTAAATGCAGATGTATCATTGGCCAGAGAGCAGGATGGTGCTAAGACCTCAATGAATCACATGCGTAAAGTGGGGAAATTGGAGCTCCTATAAAGGAGCTGTGGGAATAAACTCGTGGCTGTTTGTCTCAAGGACCATTTGAGTGCATGTCTTCTTGGTCTCCAACATGCACTTCCCATCATGCTGCAATAAGAAACAGAGTGTAGAAGACTGGATAGTCAACTGCAAGCTCATACAAATGTGTTCTGTTTTAGTAACCCAAGAATTTTACTTTTATAGATGGATGTAAAAGACCTTGTGGGGGGAAATAAAAACCTCTTTCTTAACAAATGCCTTTGAAAAGGCAGAAAATATGCTTAAATGTGTCCTATTTTACATATCCCTTTCATCCTTTAGGCTTTTGACGTAATGCTTATCACTTTGCCATTATATCAATTTGTGCTTACCAGTCTTTTTTTCCTCTTGTCTCATCTTATATTTAGGCAATGATCCTGCAAACACTTACCTACATGCTTAATTTTGCTACTCCTTCCTTGTTAATCCCTTTGAAGTTAAAAAGGATTATTTGCATTAGCAAAATAAGGCATGTGTGTGCTTTCAGGAAGAAGTTCTTATGTTGTAAACCCTTTGGGGTGGGACCAGATCAGTTATTAGGCAGTCAGATAGCTCAAAGCACGGTTGTGTGGAGGATGAGTTCAGAAGTTTGTGAAGTTAACAACTGCTAACAGAGTGAACGGGTTTGTGGGACATGCCTAGGGCATAGCACACAAGTAGTTGCTCACCCCAACTAGCACACAATCTTCTTCCCCTCTTTTCTGCATTTATTGCTGAGCTGTAGCCTCAGATTTCATACCAGCCGAGACATCTGCTTTTTTCTTACCTCCTAAAGCAGAAAATTCCCTGATATTTGCTATAGGGTAATCTAGAGCAAGACCATAAATAGATTTATGCTGGTGTGCGCAGGAAGGAGAAATAAAGATCTGAAACAGAGCTGCAGAGTTCTCCATGCTCACATTGTTGTACCCTTGCAGCCTTCTCAGAACCTCCCAGCACTAGCTTCTCATCCCAGCTAATGCATGTAATGCTTTTATATTCTTCTCATTCTTCCCACTTTCCAGGGAGACCTAGCCATGATTTTTTCCCCTCTTAAATGTGTCCTATTCAAGTACTCTATTTCAATGTACACTTGCTTTTGTTTAAGATAGATATAATTTAAAACTCACTTGGAAAGATGTGTGGGAAGTCTTCCCTTAGCTGCATTCAGCCAATGCAGCTCTGTATAGAATACCATAGCATAACAAGTAAGCTTGATATTTGGGATAGAGAGAATTACCCTGTAGTGTTTATCCTCTAGAAACCACTGACATGGATATTATAGTATTTTTTGTTGTATAATTTTAAAAAATTACTCCCAGCTTCACAGGAAAAGTTCAAACTCCAGTTTCCAGGAATATTTATTTTGGTTTATAACTCTAAGCAGAAAAATCTTATTTTTATTACACTAACATCTAGAGCTCCAGTAGAGCTGTGTAGGCCATTTTGTTCTGTTATCTAAAACTAGGGAGAGAAATTATCTTCTATCAAAGAAAATAACCTATGGATTTGTCTACATTAAATGCTCTAATAAATATATTAAAGTAATTGCAACAAATCTTTGTAACTGGAATCTCTGGACGAAGCCCCACTCGGCGAGCTGTCTGCACTTGTGGAACAGGTCACTGCTGCTAGGTGATGTTTCCTGACTACGTTCATGTTTGTTAGCTGCGTATGTGAACGCACCCTGGCTCCAACAGTCGGGCAGCAGGAGCGAGTGCTCATTCAAGGGGCTCAGCAGAGGTTGTAACCTCGAGCAGGGCTGTGAAGAGGGACAGGGAGCAAGCACTGGTGAGGCTGCCCCTCAAGTACTGTGTGAGGTGCTGGAGTATGATCAGAGAAGGGCAGAAAGCTTGTGAAAGGTCTAGAAACCATGTCTGATGAGGATGGGCTCAGGGAGCTGGGGCTGTTCTGCCTGGAGGCGGCTCAGCGGGAACCTCATGGCTCCCTACAGGAGCCAGGTGGGATCTGTCTCTTCTGCTATGCCTGCAGCGAGACGGCCAAAGGAAATCGACTGAAGCTGAGACAAGGAAGATTCGAATTAGATGTTTAAAAAAATCTTTCCGTGTTAGTGTGCTCAGGAACTGGAATAAGCTGCCCAGGAGGGTGGTGGAACTACCATCCCCAGAGGTGTTCAAGAGGTGCTCGGCTCTGGCGCTGAGCGATGTGACACAGTGGTTACAGTGGCAGTGCTGGGTGGGCGGCTGCGCTGGAGGATCTGAAGGGCCATTTCCAGCCCGGGTGCCGCTGTGGCTCAGGGATCCCCTCACGGATCCGCTCACGGATCCCCTGACGGGCGCTGTTCCGGCCCGCCCTCAGCCGCGGGGCGGGGCCGTCGGGCTCGCGCCCAGGAGAGGCTTTGGCCAACGGGCCCGCGCGCCAGCGCCTCGCGCGGTCCCGGCGCTTCCTTCCGGCCGCCATTTTGTCGGCCGTGCCTCGCCGTGCCGCCGCTCGGGGAGGGAGCGCAGAGCACCCGCCCGCCGCACCCGGACCGACCGACCGCCCGCCAGCCACACCGACCGCCATCGCCATGTCCAAGCGCCACCGCCTCGATCTGGGCGACGATTACAGCTCCAGCAAGAAACGCACCACCGACGGGTGAGGGGTGGCGCGGGCGGCGCGGCCCGCGGCGGGGCGGGTGGGGGGGATCGCGGCGGCTCCCGCGCCATCCGCGCCCCATCCCCGGCTCCGGCCGCCCCTCCGGGGCTGCAGCTCCCCGGGACGCGGGGCGGCCGCCTTGCGAGGCAGGGAGAGGCCGCAGCGACGGCGCCTCGGCCGAGCAGGCCCCGAAGTCTGGCGGCTCCCCGAGCGCGGGGCCTGGCTCGGACCGGCCGCCCCGCCGGGCGGGCCCTTCGGGGGGCGGATGGCGGCAGCGGCGGCGGCAGCGGCGGCGCCGGCAGGGGGAGGGGAGGGAGGCGCCGGCCCGGCCGCCGGGGCAGGGGGCTGGGCTGGGCGCCCGCTGCGGGGCCCGCGCCCCCGCGCACGCTTTGTTTGCAGCTCTTCGCCTTCGTACTTATATTCGCCTTTTCCACTCCTTGTCCTCCTTCCTTTGTGTTTGTTTACTTATTCTCTGGCTTGAAAGGTCTGGCGAGCGTGGGCCTATAGGTGAGCACGAGGGTTGTGCAGCCCGTGTTATTAGTGCCTACTCTGGTGGGAGCCTTGTTCCTTTGTTAACGTCTTTTCACCCAGTCACCCTCGGTGATGTGCTTGCCCTGAAGTAAGAATCGATGGTGAGGTGGGTTTTGAGTTAGGGGGCAAGGAATTGTTTATTTTTCTCTTAGTTTTGCGGGGTTGAAGTTTTAGGGCTGTACTCGAGCATATTTTTGTTGAGGTTAATGTAATTGCAGGAACACAGACAATGCACTGGTGCTGTTCTTAAATTCAGCGTTGATTTAGAGCTTTCTTTACACATTATCTTTTCCTCTCTAGTTGGGCAGGAGGGGGAGGAAGGGCAGTCAGCTCTTGAAAGTAAATTTCTGAAGTTTTAAGGAGTACAAAAAAATGCAGTGTTTATCTAGTCTGGCCTTCTTTATGGAGCACAGCAAGCTTCCGTGAATTAAACACTTGTTTAAGTCCATCAGCGTTGTTTTGGACTAGTTATGTAAGAAAAAAAAATTTCAGTTTTCACAGGTTAAATAACTCTAAGTCGAATGTAGCAGTTAATAGTCACTGACAAACAGTCTTTGCAAAACTTGCCTTTTTTAAGGTAAGCTTGTACAGCTTCAGTTTTTAGCCCCTAGAGTTTGATTCATTTTTCTCAGCTAAACAAAATAAGTCTTTGTTATTCTACTTTTACTTTCTGTCTGTAGGATCATCATAATCACGTTTTATAAAATATATTGAGCTATTTGTGTTAGTTAATGCATTTTTGTAGGATTTTCCAGAGTTTGAAATCGTTCCTCTGAGTGTACAGAAATGTACATGTACAGTTTTTCTGTGGTACAACTGTTACAGCTGGCTGTAGCGATAATCATGGGTCAATATTTCCTTGTTTGTATGTTGGTGGATTTTGTAGTTTTGGTGTGGCCTTGTTTGTCATTGTTTTTACTTATCATGAATGCTATTCTGTGCTCTTGGTGCTACCATTTTGTATGTACTGCAGTGAGTTCCCACCAGTGTTAAACTAGAAGACATTGACCTTTATGGCACCTAAAAACTGTAGAAATGTTGGTCTTGTGCCCCTTCTTTGTCCTCCCCTCTGCAGGTAAAAGCATGAAATGGTATAGGACTGAGAAAAACTCACTATAAGCATAATTACTGAACATGCCATGATTATTTCTTAGATGACTTGCAATCTTAATTCACGTAGGATGAGTCATACTAATGTTACATGGCTGGTTTATTTTAGAGTAGTTCGGTTTTGCAGCTTATGCAAGGCCGTAAGGAGGATGTGTGGAGCCTTGTTAAAAGCCTGTGTGTACCTGTCTTCCTCTGTGCCGAGGTTGCCTTTCCGCAGTGTAGGTGGTTCTGGAGCTGGATTAAGCTGGATGAGCTCCTTGCGTGATTACCACTTCGCATTCAGAACAATAGTGTCTTGCATCCTAACTGGACTACCTGACAAATATGGAAGTTACTTCAAGTGAACCTGTATTTTTTAGTTCCTCTTTAATGGAGGCCTATGTTAGTATGTGTTGCTGCACATTGGCAGCAGTGCCACATGGGCTCTGCTTGGCCGACATGTTTGTAATTGGTGCAACCTTAAACATCTGCATGACATCTGTTTTCTTCCAGAATTGAAGTATTGTCTGTGAAGTAAAAAACATTTTGAAAAATAAAAGTTGTATGGAAGACTTGGTTACAGCATTTCTGTGAATTACGTACATACTCTTTTAAAATATGCTAATTTGTTTTTAAATATATTTGAGTTGTGTAACATCAGAGTGATCTAGTGGGATGTATCATTCAGACTAATTGTATTTGGTTGATTTCTGTATAGAACAGAAATTCCTTTAGCTTATTGCCTTTTTTGCATCAAATATTGCTGTTTAATAATGGGGAGGAATTATGATTTCTTAGACTGGTTTAAGCCTTCACTGTGATGATCAGTGGTTTACCTTGAGTCCTTTGTTTCCCTTTTTATTTTTATATGATTTCTAATCAAAAAAAGCATGCTTATTTAGTGGTTGCTATAGTGCTTATTTTGTGTTCATATATGTTATATGTGTGTGAATGTAAGGAAGTGAAAGGAAATAGCAGACCAGACTTTTTCACTTAAAAGCAGAGCAAAAAATCCCAGCCCCCTTCTGATCATGAAGGCTGTTATGCGTTTCAGGTGCAAGACAAATGTGATTAAATCATTACTTTAGTGTAATTTTTTGTGTTTGAGTTCTGTTTTCTCTGTGCAATAATGAAAAAGCAGCTAAAATGTAATAGTTTATAAGTAAAGAATTGTCAAGCCATATTGTTAGAAAGTTAAGGAAATTAATATGGCGGCATAACTGTCATTCCTCCTTTTCCTTGTTGACCAAGGGAGTGTGTGTCTGCTGTGTCTGCTAAGCTTCAGTAATAATGGGAAACTGGTAAATAGTTTCAGGCACAGTAAGTGCTGCTGTATAATTTATAAGTGTTAGAGAGTAAGTTTGTATGCATGTTGTGTGTTGTGCTGTTTCTGTGGTAGAATCTGGTTGCCCTGGTTCTCCTCTGCTTTTTGAAAAAAGAAATACTCGACTTTCATTAACGCATAAATAGGTTTTGTTTCTGAAACGTACATAGAGCTTGATAGGTTTCTTTTCTGTTTGTACAATATAAAAGCTGTAAAAGTTCAGTGAAGAAACTGAGAAATGGGGGATTAATGGCACTTTCCATGATGGATTGTATTTGTAGTCCATTTAATTAACTTTTTGTTCATGAGGTTGTATTTTTGTTTGTTTTAAGTAGCTACCAACACAGAAAGTGTTGGTAGCTACTTAAGTGCTACAGAAGTGCTACAAGGGAGTGTTTAGGAGGCCAGATCAGAGATAGTGATCCAAGTTAAAATTTTGTGCATGTGGGAGGGTTGGTTCTTCACAAGGCTGGTGAAATGCTTGTGCTGACACCTGGGAAGGGTAGGCAGCAGTGGGGATCTATTCCTTTTAGCACCACGGCTGCTTCATGGGGGCTGAAGTGTATGAAGAAAGTACGCTTGGTCTGCAATGCAGAAGCTGCTGACATGATACTGTTTTATTAAATGATTGTGGAATAGATTTTGTTGGTGTGGCTTATGTACACTTTACCTGGATACCGGTGAAGGATACAAATCCTTCAGAAACACACATATACAAAAGAATACTGTAAAAAGCCGAACCTGCACATTAGTGTGACTTATACTACCTTTAGTGAAGTGTGTTTTTGCATTTTACCCTGGCTTTACCATTCTTGAATTGTTTTTATACCTTTGTTTCTTTCTCCTGCCAGTGATGTTACTGCCTGACCATGCACTTTTCTGTCCTGGTACCTCTAGCTGTTTAGAAGGTGAATAGCTCATCAGCCAAGCCCAAAGCTTTGTTGCTGTCTGATAGATGCTATTCAACTCTTAGACCTTCCTGAGTAGTATAATGGAGCCTGGTTTGTAGGGGTAACTTCCATATGGAGAATATGAACCTGTTGGGTTCTGCAGTATCTGCATGGCATTTTACAGTAGGAAGAGATTTCTAGCTTGTGCAATATTTGACTGTGTTAGAAGTAATGTTAAAGTTAGAGTACTGAGGGAAAAAAAAAAAGGCTGCATACATTACATTCATTTATACAAGAAGAGTAGTGGTGGTTGTTTCCAAAGCACAGCACATTTTGAATTAAAATTTATAGAATCAATGCTAATTTAATCTTGGTTACTGCATCTTCTCTATAGGTCAGAATATGGTATTATTTCAGTTGTTAAATTTGAATGTCAAATGCATGTTTAAAACAAAAAAGCTGTGGAGAGGAGTATTGGCAAGGGTTTTCTTTGGACATGGTCTTTAGACTTGCCTGAGTGCTGGTGAAGGAAGAGGTGAGGTTTTGTTTTTTCTTAATATAGCCTAGAAATGTTTATGTGTGCACTTGCTATAAAGCTGGTGTTGACTTTGTTGTTTTGCCTTTTGGATGGGATTTCAGTTGATGCACACAAAGAGACAAAGCTGAGGACACCAGTTTTGCAGGCAAAGATGCCACTATTCTTTTCAGCTTGATCTAGTTTAAAATGAAATGGATTATTTTTGTAAAGCAGGGCTCGTTTCAAAGTCTTGAATTGAGAATTTTTATTAAAAGCATGCAGCTGTAATTTTTGGGTCAAACTAAGGATTCCTTTGTAAGTGTGTTTGTAGGAAGAGTGGGATTATGTGCAGGAACAAGTACATGGACTTGCAGAATCAAACTCAAAACGACTGAGGTCAGAGTTTGAGAATACTGTTTTTCTTTTGCACACAGTGAATTTTTCTACTTAATATATGGAACAAATGCGAATACATAAATGCTGTTGAAGTGTGTGGTATGAGGTGATGCTGTAAAAGATACTGTACAGCTTGGTAGTGTTGGGTTAACAGTTGAACCCATAATCTTAAGGGTCATTTTCAACCTCGATTATTCTGATTCTGTGAACTGTAGTGGATGGTTTTAAGTCTTAAGTTCCAGACTCAACAACCTGTGTAGCAAAGTTGATGGAGTCAGAATTGTGTGTAAGACTTGAAACAAAAATAAAGCTACAGAGTAACTGTGGAATAATGAAATTAAACTTTCCTTCCCTGGCTTGCTTACTATCTTGAGTTAATTTTTTTTGGGTGGGTATAATTCCTTTGGTAGGTAGGCAAAAACACTTTTTAGTGTTCTCTTATTTTTCTGCAGCAGCAAGTGGGGATGGGGAGAGGTGAGACATCTACACTGCACGACTGATTCTTTATAATCATTAGATGAAGAGAGTTAAAACATTAATCTCTCCACATGATAGCTTTATTCAGTCTTAGCTGTAATGAGAGGCACTGTTGCAGTGTTTAGGTACAATAAGTGTAGCTGTGTCTATCTAATGTTGAGTATGCATCATATATACTGTTGTTACTCCTTGGTGCTTATCCTTCCAGGTAGCTGATTACAAGACTTCAAAAATTTGGTTTTTATCCACTTCACGCTGGGCATCTTTAGGGTTGTGTTGTATTAAAATTCCTCCTCTACATTTAAATATTCAAGTGTCTCATTTTCTCCTTTGTCTCTTAACCTGTTTTAGGAAAGATCGGGACCGGGACAGGGACCGAGATGACCGTTCGAAAGATCGTGATAGGGATCGTGACAGAGATAGAGATCGTGACAGAGAGAGGGACAAGGAAAAAGATCTGCGACCTACATCCAACTCTACGTATTATGCAGCTGCTGGCTTACCAGCTATAAAACCAGCAATGATTCCACACAGTATTAACCCTTTCACAAATCTACCACATACCCCACGATATTATGATATCCTGAAAAAAAGGCTACAGCTTCCTGTCTGGGAATATAAGGAAAGATTTACGGATATTTTGATTAGGCATCAGTCATTTGTGCTGGTTGGAGAGACTGGGTCTGGTAAAACAACACAGGTGAGTTCTTATCTATGTGATACTGCATTTTTTTAAAGGTTGTGGTTATATGTGAGAAATAAATGTGTAAGAATACTTCAAAAACTGTGAGCAAAACTAATATGATGGATGTTGTATTTTCTTAATGAGTGCAGAAGGTGAGGAGAATTTTACAACTTCTTCCACTTCAAAAATCCAGTACTTATTCCAGGCCCCTGGTTCCATTGGGCTTTATAATTGGTAGGTTTCTGTTAGAGGAAGATAGAGCTTTTATGGTGGGACAGAAGTGTACTAAATCCACAAACCGAAGTGGTGGTTCCAAATTATTTATTTAGCTGTCTATGTAGATGGCAGCTACAAAGTATGAACTTGTTCATGTTTTATGAAATTTATTGCTATTGATAAAACGAAATGTCAGATACAATTCTGACGTCTGATTAGCTTTTGGTGATACTCAAACTTGAGAGGTAGAGTCTTGTGTTTCTTTGGTGCTGAAACTTCTCAGAGGTTGTAGAGATTTTTAGTGCTGCAGTTAAAAATCACTTTTTTTTTTTGGAGACTTACGGCTTTAAAAGTCTTCCTCAGCACCAGAAGTAGTGATAACAGATGTGCAGAGCCTCCTTAAGCCTTAACAAAATTTTTGAGGACCAGTAAACAGGGAATATCTAAGATACAAGGAACACCTGGGTATTTATAGCAGGGTAGACTTGTTCAAAACTTTATCCTCTAGTTTACTGTTTAAAGTCTGTGTTGAAAACTGATGTAAAACACTTGTTTGTTCTGTAATCTGATAAAATCCTTTTGTCTAGGCAGAAAATTAAAGCGGAAGAATATTTTAGTCTTTATAAAAGAGATTGTAGCTAACTTTTAAGTTTTACAGACAGTAGATTTTTGGTCATAAAATTTTGGATGTTGAGAAAATGTGAAGGACATAATAGTATATTGAATATCTTTTATAACTGTGCCTGAAATATCTAAAGTTACAGGATCTTGCTGCACATTCTAGGAACCAGTGCTAATTCTAGCAGGTAGTTTTTTGACATTATGTGGTTTTTTTATAACTGTATGAACAAAGACTAGGACTGTATAAAATTCTTTAGAAAGGTCTGATTATGTAGTTATTTGGAAGATGCAGTAGCCTGAATATTACGTTAAAAAATTGTACTCACCTATATGGAAACAAGTTTACTTGCGTGATCCGAAAATTTGAAGATCTAAAGATTATGTCAGTGTCATTCCTCAGGCATAAAGCTTTTCCTGAGTTATCTTACCACTTTAACCCCTACTTTCTGAAAGGATTTAAGTAATTTAACACATCTTGCCTAAAAACTGGATTTAAGCTACCAGAAGCACATAAACTGTCTTGGAAGCTTCCCTGCTTACTGTTAATTTGCTCTGTGAAGTTGCAGATATGCTTTTAAACAATTGACAGTGTCTCTGTAGGGACATACCACTGAAAATTGTCCTGCTGCCACCTAATGAAAACTGTTTTACATATGGTAGTGTGTCATTGTTTTTGTGGTCAGTTGCTGTCTTAAAACTTGTTTATGGATGTTTGTTTTTCTTTATAAATTCATTGATCAGAGCAAGATAAATACTTTTCTGCAGCTAAGAAATCCTTTAATGTTCAAACTGCAGGTGTACATAAGGTATTAATATCAGCTTTATACAAATAAAAGCAAGCAACATTTGAAAAATATTATTTCCAAAATTAGTATCTTCTTTCATTGTGATAGTAAAAGGCTATACAGTAGTAGATAGCTTTTTGATAGTTAGCTGCTGCCTTTCAAGTCCTTTCCCTGATTATTATCTGCACCTCTCCTATTTAGGCAGGTTGGGAGAGTTGGGATTGTTGATCCTGGAGAAGAGAAGGCTGCAGGGAGGCTTCACTGTGGCCTTTCAGTACCTAAAGAGGACTTAGAAAAACATGAAGAATGACTTTTTACATGGGCAGCTAGTGATAAGACAAGGAGAAATTGCTTTTAACCTGAAAGAGGGGAGATTTAGATTACCTGTTAGGAAATTCTTCACTGTGAGAGTGGTAAAATACTAGAACAGGTTCCTGGAGAAGTTGGGAGTGCCTCATCCCTGCGAGTGTTCAAGGCCAGGTTGGATGGGGCTTGTAGCAGTCTGGTCTGGTGGGTGGCATCCCTGGCCATTGCAGGATGGTTGAAACCAGATGATCTCTAAGATCTCTTCCGCCTGAAACCATTTTGTGATTCTATGATTATATGCATGTTTTCCCATTAGTCTTGTAGAGTGCCCAGGATTGGAAATGTTTGGCTCAGCAATGGAAAAAACAGAAGATTAAACTTTTCTCACTTGTTTCATGTAGACTTAAACCCCAAAGTACTGAAGAAGTATATTGGAAGCCACGACATTAATTTTCGGTTCTTTAGTGTTTGCAGTGGCTTGATTTGTAATTTAAACTTAACCTTTGAAGTTAACTGGTTTTTCTAAATGCACTGGAAATGGGCTCAGTGATGGAATGGGTGTGCCAGATTTCTCTTACGAAGGGGTAATTACTTACTGTAATTGCAGTGTTCACTCTCTGTTAAACCTGGGATCATATGTGGTTCTGGTATAATAGTTTCTCTTTGGTAAAGAGAATGCTAGAGTGGCATGTCCCTTGTGTATTGATGTAGCAGAAGTGATGCCACTTCTTTAGTGCAGCTTCTTGGCGAAGTTCAGGAGCAAGGTGATGTGGAGTATAGCTTAATCCTTGTCCTTTAATGTGCAGGAGAAACTATGCAGGTCCTCAGATAATGATAATGAAGAGAATTCTACCGTGTAACTTTTAACTGAGGAATTTTTCAGGAAGTTGGAGAGGCTCAAAAAAGCCAGAAAGGGGAGTGCTCTTCCATCTCTTGCTATGCAGTTCTTAAAATGATGAAGTTCCTTTGACTTTGAAATAGTCTTAAATAACCCTTAGTCCATTTATCCTTGATCTTAGATGCCAGTGTATGTCTAGTCACTACCTCCTCATGTTTATGGAAGTCATATTTGAAAATCTCTTACTTGAGAAAGTCCTTGAGATTAAATGGTGCTAACTAAAGCCATTCCTCCTGCTTTGGATACTTGATAGAATGACCTTTTTTATAGGGAAAGTCGGGGATTTTGATGATGCTGTAGGGTTTTTTTTTCTGTCAGTGGGTTTAACTTTAGGCTAGGTTTCATAATAACCAAATGAGAGTATATTCCCAGATATGACTGAAGTAAAAAAATGTAGTATGGCAGAGTCCTTTTTCCCAGTATATGTATGTCTTTGAAAGATGGACAGGAAAAGTCTTCAGGTGGTTGTCTATATCAGCTTAGCACAGGGAAGTCTGTGGAGCCCTTTTCTTTCATTTCACACTGGTGCTGAAGATTTTGTTGTTTACTGGAAAATCACGTTTAAATTGGTTTTATTTCATGCTGCAGTGGTCTGAGAGACTGCTGGTTCAAAATATATTTCAGGACTTGCCCTAAGTAAAAAAGCTTTACCTAATATACTCACATATACTAGTATACTTACTTGAGCTGTTACTTGCGACTTAGTAAAGCAGGGGAGGCATGTATATGTTACAGGATAGGGTTTTGTGTTGCTGCTGTTAGTGTTCAAGAACTGCTATTCTAGTTTTGAATAGGATTTTCAGAAATTTTGAGTTCTTCACAGCAGTCTAATAGGCTCCTGTCATATTTTGATTCCGTTTGCTTTATTGCTCCTATATTTATAGTGGAAGTTCTCCATATTCATCATTTAAAAATGCTTAGACTACACTGATCTGTGTCTGGTTATGTGTTACTGTTTACTTATGTCCATTTTGCTGTGAAAATATAATTATAAAGAACTGACATTTTCCTGGTTTAAATTATACTGCTTTCTCTTATTCCTCATTGGAATTCCTAATATAAATATAAATATAAATATAAATATAAATATAAATATAAATATAAATATAAATATAAATATAAATATAAATGGTATGTTTTCTTTTCCTCTTTGTGTTTTTAAGACTACTTGGAAAGTAATTACTAAGAACAAGTGGATTTTTTGGTCTGTAGGCTTGGAACTAGTTCGGCCTGGAGACGTCTCCTCATAAAGTGTCACACTGAGAACATGTTGAGAATAATCTATCTCCATCAAACTGTTACTGACCATAGGAATTCTGAATAAAACTTATTTTGGATGATTCTTACTGTTTCCATATTCCTAATAGGAGCAGAAAACTGCTGACTGGCAAATCAAATGAGTGCTAACACAGGAAGGAAAACATAGGGGTTTTATATGTGGTTGATGAAATTTCTGAAGAGCAGTAATAAACCTAATGAACATAATTATCTGTTCGTTTTATTTGTTGCCCTTCTTGGCTAAGACAATTTTTTATTACTAAAATAATTATTTTTGCTTATAAATATTAGTAAGCATTACTTTTTTGAGACACAGAATACATTTTGCTTACTGTAAAATTTTAACTGTGCTACTGATCTCAAATTTTGTGTTTTATCTCTAATTTTGGTTGCTCTGGAGCATGTTGGCTGATGCTAAGTAACTCTAAAAAGTATTGATCTAACATCTATAAAATGTACCGTGAACCTGTGTATTTCCTTGATAACTTCAAAGATAGTTATGTACATGCTTAACGAGAGTGTGCTTTAGTTAGTGGCAGTGGATCCAACTAACTAGTCTATCTCTAATATAGTCTGTCCTGCTTTGGCTGTTTTTATGTGTGCAGTTGACATCTCTGTGGAATTGTAACTGACTTTGGATTCAGTACAGGTTGCAGATTCCATGTGACCATTTGAAGTGTGTTTATCACTGAATTGTATCCTTGGCAGATCCCTCAGTGGTGTGTAGACTACATGCGCTCGTTACCTGGCCCGAAGAGGGGAGTCGCGTGTACCCAGCCCCGGCGAGTGGCCGCAATGAGCGTGGCACAGCGTGTTGCTGATGAGATGGATGTCATGCTGGGCCAGGAGGTTGGGTACTCCATTCGGTTTGAAGATTGCAGTAGTGCAAAAACCATTTTGAAGTAAGTATTGCAGCTGTCAGGTAAATGTATAACAGCATACTTGGAGGTGGGGGAACCACAGGGTTATGAAGGGTGAGAGCAAAGTTATGAAAGGAGTAATAAGGGAGTGACTCTGTGGATTGGTGCTTTTGTGTCTGAGTGGGGAAGAGTCAAGGGAGCTGTAGCATGAGCTGAGAAGTGTGAGGTATGAAGCATGAATAGAGTTGGAAATTACTCATTCCTCCTAAAGAAGACATTGCACCCTATAGAAATTAATTTTAAATGATCCAGAAAGAAGGCAGTGACCTGAATAAATATTTTATTATTAAGGCACTATTCATAATAAGGCACTTCAATATGCAGTTTCTCTTTGTTGTACATTTAGCTGAGGTTTTACATGTGGGGTCTTCTACTCAGGGTACTTCTGGTGAAGTTCAGTACATTATTTCAGTAAAGAGAACTTCCCAAAGATTCAAAACTGGCCTATGCCTGGCTCTGGACACATAATCAGGAGTGTTGTACTTGTCATCTGCTATAGATTCCTGTGCTGCCAGGAAACAGGTGCATTTAATGCATCATTTACATATTACATTCAATATGCTCAGTTAAAAACAACACAATGTGGTTCAAGGATCAATGCTTTTCTATCAAAAGATGGCTTCTCCTTGGTCATACAAGTAGAAGGGCTGGGCATAAAGTTAATATGGAAAAAGAAATGTAACAGTAGCAGAAAGGCAAAAAGTGAACAGATGATCTGCAGACAGAAAAGGAGAACAATTGCAGAAACAGTGTATCTTGGATTTTAGAGGGTGTTGTCTCTTCTCTTGAGTTCAGGTGTGGAAGTCTGCCAGTAACACTCTACAAACTATTGTAAATGTTACAAAGCCTTATTCCTCCTCACTCCCCCCCTTTTTTAAAAAAAGTTTTCTCCCCCCCACTTTTTTTTAAGCTTTACCCCCCATGAGATTCTGCTTATACTCTTTTTCTATTTGAAAACTTAAAATGGGCATGTTACAGTGTTGGAAGTAGTTTGTTGGTGTTGCTACACTGAAAAAGTTGATTAAAAGCTTAGTTCAAGCAATGTAGTGATATGGAAGAGGATTCTGTATCAAACCTAATAAGCAGAGTGTGAGTTGGAATTGTTTCTCTTTGTTCAGGTATATGACTGATGGTATGTTACTTCGTGAGGCGATGAATGATCCTTTGCTGGAGCGCTATGGTGTTATAATTCTTGATGAGGCCCATGAGAGAACACTGGCTACGGATATCTTGATGGGAGTTTTGAAGGAGGTTGTAAGACAAAGATCTGATCTGAAGGTCAGTAATGATGAAGTTCAATGGCATCTCTCTTCTAGTTGCAGTCATACTAAGTATCTCTGTCCTTACCGTTAGCTGAGTTTTATAATTGTTTTTTTATCTGTGATCATGTATTTTGGAAGGCTAAACTTAGGAAAATCTGAATGTGTTTTGTATTGAGGAAGCTCCTAGAAACAATGCAATTGTAGCTTAACCTTATGTATTTGACTTGGAATTTTTTTGAACAGGGGTGCTTTATTCAGGTAATAAATGCATTCTTATATTACAGTCAGCAATTTACTTTCTTAAAATTGCATGTTATATGCATCACATATCACAAGTTCTAAACATTGAGTAACTTTTTGTCCTCCAAATCCACAGGTTATAGTTATGAGTGCTACTTTAGATGCTGGCAAGTTTCAGATCTATTTTGATAACTGTCCTCTTCTAACTATCCCGGGTCGTACCCATCCTGTGGAGATATTCTATACTCCAGAACCCGAAAGGGACTACCTTGAGGCTGCCATTCGAACAGTGATACAAATTCACATGTGTGAAGAAGAAGAAGGAGATCTCTTACTCTTTCTTACTGGACAGGAGGTACTTTCTTTTGTTTTCTATTCATTGTTCCATACAAAAAGTGCTTCAAGTGACTTCTGTAGACTAAAACAGTTTCCTTTTCTAGTTTATTGTTTGGGTGACCAGAGGTTTACCTGCCATACATTTTAGGTCCTTTGACATTGTACGTATCTGTAATGTAAATGGTGTGCCAGGCCTTTCTAAAATGAAAATTCTCATCAACTCAAGTACTTCAAAAACAGAAACCCAGAGAATGAACCCAAGGTTTATACTGATGGGAACTTTTGGGAACTGATGGGATTAATTCTGTGCACAAGTGTATATGTATTGTACAACTTATCTAAAGAATAATCATTTGGTTCTGCTGCTTAGCTATTAGTAGTAGGTTTTGGGTTTCTTTATCAACAACTCGGAGTGTTAGGCTGTAGACTTTATTGTACCATAGATTCAGGGAGTTAATTCTCAGAAATGGACTCCATGCCCTGCAAAAGAGGATTGTATGCAAGCACTTAAACTACACTACATCAGGAAGTGAGGATTTTCTGGAAATTTCAAGTATTTTACTTGAAATAACCTAGGGTATTTTTTTAGTCCCAATCTTTCTTTGAAGCTCTTTGCATGTCCATATTGGTAAACTGAGATGGAGAAGAGGTTAAAAACCTGTAGGCATTTTGAAAGTTTGCTGGATTCAGTCAACCTAAATGTGCTTTTCGCAGGGGAAGAAGTGCAGCTAGCAAAAAATATTTTTCAACTCATTCTTCTTTCAGTTACTACTCTTGAAATACCTGTCAAGGGATGTGGAACAATTCAGTATCTTTCTTCTAAGCAAACACAACCTTAACTATGCCAAGGGTGGATAGTGGTACAAGTAACTTGTGATGCTAAAGGTACTCTGGTTTCTTGAGTAGACTTTCCAGCCATAAAGATGTGTTTTCTCTTACATGAGTTTTCAGACATTTGATTGAAGTGTCTTCTGGCAGGTCATCTCCCTTAAAAAACCAAAGCAATGACTGTCACTATAAAAGCAAATACTCCGACTTTTACATTTGTCCTTCTTTGATTGGAGTTTTGCTGTACAGGTAGGAAGAAATACTTTCAGTGATAGTGGCTTTGAAACCTACCTGCTTGTTTTAGTTTGAAGTTGTAGTTCAGACTATCTGGGCACTTAAATGTGTGAATTAGTGAAACAGCTGTTGCAGAAGGGTGAAAATTGGTGGCAGGAGAAAGGAACACTGGTGTCCTGGTGTTTCAGCAGAAGTAATTTTTCTAGCAAGATGCTAAATCAGGCTGGTCTTCAACCTTTCAAAAAGCACAAATACATGGCCTTCTGATGTATGAGTTACGTGTTTGTTATGTCAGGTGCTATGTATTACTCTAAATAATCTGTTATAACAATCACTGAAGGGTATGGGATGAGTGTCTTCCTTTGGCAAATGTCTCTAGGCTCCAGACCTGCCGCTACTGCAGATGTACTCTCTTCTTCTGTATGAACAGGTTATTTGATTTTCACTGGGTTGATTTGCAGGACATAATGTATTATAAGCAAATTCTGAATAAAATTCTGCACACAGTACACAGTCATAAGTGTATTTATATAATAAAGCATAAAAGCATCTAACACTGTCTTACTGAATCACTTTAAAACACTTGTTGGTTAGCTAGCATCCTCTTCTCTGGAGTCTAGAGTTGTCCAGTCCATGTGTCAGTTGATGGTACTACCCAGGGTCACTGGAGTTGACTCTGCCTGGACCTAATCTTAGTTTGGGTGGTTAGCATGAAATTCAAGTCTGGTTTAGCTTCTGTAGAGAAGCCTAGAAATACTTTAACCCTTTGGATTAATGATATTTTGAGGTGTCTGTTGAGCATCATAATAGGGTCTCTGTGTGTATTGCTGTTGAATCTAAAGTGGTGTGACCTGCTGTACTCTCAAGAATGGGAAAGTGTGCTCTAGATACCATTACCACTATATGCTTCAGGTTCGTTAGACTTAGTAGCTAGGCTGAAATTGATGTATGCTGGTAGTTCTTTGAGATTCTTCAAAACACTATGAACAGGGTGCAAGATTATTTGCATTTCTTGTCAGAAAGGTGTATATACAAAGGTAAACGAAATTACAGACAAGGAAGTGATTTAGCTGAAATGGTGTGAATGTGTCTTGTTGAGAGTTTGAGGCTGTAAATGAGGTATAATTGCAGTGGCCTGTGGTAGAATGGGGTTCCCTATTGGCTACTGTCTTTTCATCCAAAAGATTTTGAAGTCATTTCATATGGGAATTAAGATGGATAGCAGTTAATTAGTACAGATTAGTTAAGACATAGAGAAGATGATGAACCTTGGAGATAGCAAGGAAGATTGTGTTGTCATGCCCAGAAAATTAAAAGAAGCTTAAATGTGTTTGGAAATGAAAGGAATCATAGTTGTATTAGCATGCTACTGGATGATGATAAAATGTTGTTAATGGTGTAGAAATATGTGTTCAGTAAAAATTCCATTCCTGAATCCTGGAAGGAGTAAAAGTATCTGAATGCATTGTATGAACTGCTTTTAAGTCCATTAATAACAAAAGAGGATGTTTAAAAGAAAAATTTACTACGAATGAACATTTTGAAACATGATTCGTCCTACAAGCTTTGTAAAAAATGAGGAAAGCTCATTTGTTAATTTTTAAAACAAGCAACTCCCCTGGTATATCAAGAAAATTCAGAACATAGTGTTCATGTTTAATGCCAGTGTTCAGAAATGTATAATCTGGTGTTGGGTTTGCATGGCCAAGCTTGGGTAGCAGGGTGATGATTTCTTTGAGGAGCTGCTAGAAGCTTCATCCATGTCCAACAGAGTCAATCCCTTGCAGCTCCGAAGATGGAATGTGCCTCTGATCAAGGCTGAGCCAATGGTGGTAATGTCTCTGTGATGACATGTTTAAGAAGGAGAAAAAAAGAAAAACCAACAAGTTATTGAGCAGTTGTAATTGCAGCCAGAGAAGAGCAGGGTTGAGAACATGTGAGAGGAACAACTCTGTAGACACCCAGGTCAGTGTGGGAGAAGGGGGAGGAGAGGTGCTCTGGACACCAGAGCTAGGATTCTCCTGGAGCTTGTGGTGCAGCCTGTGGTGAAGCCGCTGTGCCCTCCAGCCCATAAAAATCTATGAGCATGCAAAATCCACCTGCAGCTTATGAAAGATACCTATGGTGGAGCAGGTGGATGCCTGTCAGGAGGCTGTGACCATGTCGAGGGCCCACAGAGAGCGGAGCCCCCTGTGGAGCAGTCTGTCCTTGGTCGTTCAGCCCATGGCAGAGTGACCTGTGCTGCAGCAGCTTGCAGAGATCTGTTACAAGATGGACTCATGTCAGAGAAGTTCATGGAGAACTGTCGCCCGTCGGGGAGGATCTCATGCTGGAGCAGGAGAAGGGCTCCTCTTCCTGAGAAGCAAGGGAAATAACTTGTGATGAACTGGCCATTACCCCAGTTCCCTGTCTCCCTGTGCTGCTGGGAAGGAGGGAATGGTGGAGGAGGGCGGAAGGTGTTTCGAGGGTTGTATTTTACTTCTCATTATCATGCTCTGATTTTGTTAGTAATAAATTCAGTTAATAGCTCTTATCTGAGCCTGTTCTACCTCTGGTGGTATTTGCTGAGTGACCTCTCTGTCTTTATCTCAGCTCATGACTCCTTGTATTTTCTCTCCCTTGTCCAGCTGTAGAGGGGAGTGATAGAGAAGTTTGGGTGGGTGTCTGGCATCCAGCCAGCATCAACTCACTACACCTGGACAGCTGTAAGCTAGGTTGCCTGTCATCAGTTACCGGCAGAATTAGAAGGGGAGAGGGATTTTGTTTCACAAGGGAAAAGCATAATTACATTTCAGTCAACATGTCTTTCTTAGACAATAGGTGTTGTCAAACTTCTCAGTCTTTGGGGTTACAAAATCGGTAGTCTATTTTTGTAGATACACAATTTTTAAGCTTGTAGATCTGAGAGGTAAATGGAGTTCTTCTAAAACTGCATTAGATTTTACACTCCATTAAGATCAGTAACCCGAGAGGAGGTCTAACATACTTAGAGATGAAACTTGTGGGGTGGGAAAGACAGAAATAATGACACAGCAACTGTATGGGTCTGTCTTACATGTTCTAGTTACATGGGCATTTACAAATGCCAGTTGTATTCTTGGTCACCCTTTTTTTTATAAAGCCAGATGCATTGTTACACATTTATGAGGAAGTATCTGTGCTGCCTCTAGAGATGTGAAGTACAGATCAGGAGTGTTCTTGATTGTAGATAAATATACTTAAAATTGTTGCTGTGAAGTTCAGTATTCTGGAAAAGCTTAAAGTGATATTGGTAAAACTGGTGGTTTAGAAAAGAGTTCCAAAACATTTTTGATGTTTTGATAGAAAGTTTGGTAAATGAGGGTTTATTTTAAAGGCACAATATTTTCATTACTGTGAGACTGGTTGAGCTCTGGAAATGAAAGAAAACAGAGACTTACATCCTAATTGAAGTAAATATTGACAACTCTTTTGGTGTCAGTGGTGATGGTTGGGTGAGGTTAAGAGGAAGTCTGTTTACTAAAAGTGAACACAAGTTGTCCTGTTTAAAATTAAGATAGGAAGCATTTGGGGAGCTGGACAGCATGAGCTAAAATGAGTGCAGTAATACTAATTTTGTTCAAATGCTAAAAGGAGGAAGGTTTTTTTGCTCTTCATTCAAAATTATGTCAATATTTAATATTACAAATTAATCAGATCAAAGAGATCCTGAATATGGGAATTATGCCAAGGTGATTTAAGTTTTGACTTGACAGAGCAATTCTAGTTTATGGTCAAGTGTTGCCTTTCTCCATCTATTACTTTTTTTGTCTCTGCATAATTTTGCAAAGTTTGTTTGGCTCAGTTTGTGTTCAAAGGCCTGAAGTGGTGCAGCTCTTGGAGCTGGTTCTTTTTATTGCAGTTTTGTCATTTTAGCTTGTAGCAGTCTGCTTTCATTTCCAGAAGAAGAAAGGGGAATTATGGAAGTTCCATGCAGTC